AGACAATAGAGCAGCTGTCTTGCCCTGGTACTCTGCATACCAGCTGTCCACCCTTATCTACACACACACTTTCTGGGTATTAAGAGGTGGAGCTTTGTGCATAGAATTGGGAAGTGGGGGAGGAGGAGGGGGAAGGACTTCTGACCCTCTCTTAGAAGAAAAGGGGCCGGGTGGGGGGGGGGGCTTCCGCGCTCTTTTGTCCTGGAGCCGCTGTGTTAAGAAGAATGCTCCTCCTGGGCTGAGTAAAGTCCGCGGTGGTTACCGGGCAAGACGGTCGATGCCCGGGGCTCGGCGAGGCTCTGTGGTGGAGCTGGGCGCGGTCTGTAGCCCTGTTGTGCTGGGGGCCGCTCTGGTGGGCTTGACGCTGTGCCTTTTCTTCTCGCAGCCATCTGCTTGCCGGGGTGCGATGAGCAGCATGGGTTTTGCGACAAGCCAGGGGAATGCAAGTAAGTTTGCAAGAGCTGCTTTTTTCTTTTTCTTGCTGTCCTTTTACGCCTAGTGTATTAGTAAAGCATCTCTAGATGCCCTTTTGAAAACTGCAGGTAAGATTAGCTGGTTGGAGGGGGCTGTTTTTCTGCGTTTCTACTAAATAAATACATGGACGGGCATAGGGTCAAGGGCTGTCATCCAGCTAAGCTCCTCAGTGGCTGTGGAACTTACAGATGGAGATTTAAAGAGAATTGGCACCGAAGAAGAGAGAGTTTAGTTGGTTCTCAAACTTCACAGCACGTTAGAATTACCTAGAGATGCCGCCCCGGTTGGCCCTTGTACCCAGAGTCAGACCCTCTGACGTGGGACGAGGGCCTCCACGTGGTTTAAAGCTCCTGAGGACGGTCCAGTGTCCTGCCTCGTTTGAGAAGCAGCGGTGTTGATGCTGTTGGAAGACAGTCTCTCGTGTGGGGGAAGGTGTCGCCAGGAGGCCGGTAGCGTCAACGTCCAATGACTGTCCTCTCCTCCAAGGTGCAGAGTGGGCTGGCAGGGCCGGTACTGTGACCAGTGCATTCGGTACCCCGGCTGTCTCCACGGCACCTGCCAGCAGCCCTGGCAATGCAACTGCCAGGAAGGCTGGGGGGGCCTTTTCTGCAACCAGGGTAAGCCTCCCGTCCCCGCCAGGCAGCCTGGCTTCCCGGGCGCTGTCACGGGAAGTACGCGCTCCCGAATTTAACCCCGGGCCTCCCTCCTCCTCTTCCCGCCTGCACCCCCGCAGACCTGAACTACTGCACACACCACAAGCCCTGCAAGAACGGGGCCACCTGCACCAACACGGGCCAGGGAAGCTACACTTGCTCTTGTCGGCCTGGGCACACGGGGGCCAACTGCGAGACGGAGGTGGACGAGTGCAGTGCCAGCCCCTGCAGGAATGGAGGGAGCTGCACGGTGAGTCTGGCCACCGTGGGCTCTCCTGCCGAACCGGGAACCCTGGTTTGAGACAGGCCGTGTGGGTCCCTCGGAACGACGTAGGAAAGCTTTCTCCATCTTCTCCGTCACTCAGGACCTCGAGAACAGCTACTCCTGCACCTGCCCGCCTGGCTTCTACGGCAGGATCTGCGAGCTGAGTGCCATGGTGTGTGCCGACGGCCCCTGCTTCAACGGGGGACGGTGCTCGGACAACCCCAAGGGAGGGTACACCTGCCGCTGCCCTGGGGGCTTCTCTGGCTTTAACTGTGAGAAGAAAATGGATTCCTGCAGTTCCTCACCCTGTTCCAATGGTAAGGGGGCCGCCTGACCCATCCGAGACGTTGTCCAGTGGTCCACACTGGTGAGAACGCGTCAGAAGCGCAGAGTTTAGTTTCAGGCTGAGTTCATCACTTTGTGATTTGCCTTGCGTTTCAGAAGCCCTTTCGTCTGAACAGTGAGAAACTGTTCATAGAAATCTCATCCCCAAGTCTGGAAGCACCCAGGGAGCTAGGGAGGCAGGCAGGGGCATTCCTTGTCCGCAGGGCCCGGCGCAGGTGGAGACGCAATGACCTGCGCGCCGTCCTGCGGCGCCTGGGGTGCCCGAGACTCTGAACATCAGCGGGTCAGCCCCAGCGCCAGCCCAGCCACCGCGCTTTTGGAGGGAAGCCCAGCTCTGCTCTGTCACCAAGCAGAGCCGTCTGCTGCGAGGATGTATGGTCTCCACGAGTTGGGGGGATGCCCTAAGCAAACTCACAGAGGGGGAAGCTGGGCCCCAGACAGGCTGGACCATTCTGGAAGCTTCTGGAGCTTCTGCGTGGGGTGTGATAATCGATGGAGAGGAATCAGCTTGCTTTGCTCTCCATGTTCTGTACAGAAGGTGTGGCAGTCCTGAGGTCAACTCTTTCTCCTGTTGGTTTCCAGCCACTGAACCAATAGAGCAGTGGATGCTTCATGTCTAGAGAGGAAGAATAGGGAGGTTTAGCAGGCTTGGCTCTGGAAAGACAAAGACCAAACCCCAGCCTCCTCCCTCCCTTCCTTTCTTCTTTTCTCTTTCTTTCTGTTTCAAGTCTCACTTGTCACTAACTGTGTAACTGTGGGCAAGCACGTCATCCTCTTTAAGCCTTGGTTTCCTCATCTGTAAACCGGGTCCTTTGTTGGCTTGCTGTGAAGGTGAATGCAGTACTGCAGGCAAAGCGTGTTGCACGGTGCATGTCAGGAGGTATTAGCCTGTATTTTTTAGGTGATTTATGGGGCTCGACCAGAAACTCTGCCCCGGCCCTCGCCGTGGGCTTGTGTTTGATGTATGTTGTCTTAAGCGGCGGCCTCTGTCCGGTCTGCCCCTGTGTCTCTGCTCTGGTGTGTGACGCAGCGGCCGGGGCAGCACGTGCTTCAGGGCATTTTCTGGGTGACAAGCCACTGCCCTTGTCCGTGTCCCAGGTGCACGGTGCGTAGACCTTGGCGATGCTTACGTCTGCCGCTGCCAGGCCGGCTTCTCTGGGAGGCACTGTGACGACAGCGTGGACGACTGTGCCTCTTCCCCGTGTGCCAACGGCGGCACGTGCCGGGACGGCGTGAATGAGTATTCCTGCACCTGCCCCCCCGGGTACACGGGCACAAACTGCAGTGCCCCCGTCAGCAGGTGTGAGCACGCACCCTGCCACAACGGGGCCACCTGCCACGAGCGGGCCCTCCGCTACCTGTGCGAGTGCGCCCGAGGCTACGGGGGCCCCAACTGCCAGTTCCTGCTCCCCGAGCTGCCCCCGGGCCCTGTGGTGGTGGACCTCACCGAGAAGTACGTGGAGGGCCAGGCTGGCGCGTTCCCCTGGGTGGCCGTCGGTGCGGGCGCGGTCCTCGTCCTCACGCTGCTGCTGGGCTGCGCTGCCGCCGTGGTCTGCGTCCGGCTGAGGCTGCAGGAGCGCCGGCGCCCCGCCGACCCCTGCCCGGGGGAGGCGGAGACCATGAATAACCTGGCCAGCCGCCAGCGAGAGAAGGACGTCCCTGTCAGCGTCATCGGCGCCGCGCAGATCAAGAACACCAACGAGAAGGCGGACCCGCACTCGGAGCCCGGCGCCGAGAAGAACAGCCTCAAGGCTTGCGACCCCGCCGTGGGCTATAACCTGCTGCAGGACCTCAAGGGAGCCGCCGCCAGCGGGGAGCCCCACAGCAAGCGCGAAGCCAGGCGCCAGCCCCGGGGCTCTGCGGGGGAGGACAGTGCCCCGACCCTCCGGGGGTGCGTGTGCTGCGGCCGAGGGCGCGGGCGGCCGGGCGGGCGGCCGGGCAGGAGCCCGAGCCTCGCGGGGCGCCTCGGGCCGGGCGGGCCGGGCGGCCGGCCGTGTTCCTCCAAGCTCTGGTCATCGTACTGTTGAAAAATGTGTTCACGTGCTGACTGTGGTTCCCTTTCACCTCCCGTCTAGGGGAGAAGCAGCTGAAAGGAAAAGGCCGGAGCCTGTGTCCTCCACTTCGAAAGACACAAAGTACCAGTCGGTGTACGTCATATCCGAGGCGAAGGACGAGTGCGTCATCGCAACTGAGGTCAGCGCGCGGCCGCCCGACCCACCCCGGCCCGGCCGGGCCGGAGCTGGGCCTATGACTGGCGCTAACCTCCCCTCTGTCTCGTGGCCCCCTAGGTGTGAAGTGGAGGTGACGTGGCGAATTCCCGTTTCTCTTAGAATAAGTGAACTTCCAAGGATATCTGCCCCGACGATGCTGCTGAGAGGAGCGGAGGTGCTCGTGACTGCTGCTGGGAAGCCAGGTCCTCTTCCTGCCGAGGGGGCAGCCGGCAGGCGTTCCAGGCGCCTGTCGCACTGCCTTTGAGGACGTTTCCATTGCACTATGGACAGTTGCTTTTAAAAAATATATATTTAAATGAATGGACTTGATCACTACGTAAGAAGCACGCACTGCTTGAAGTGTATATTTTGGAGTCTTATGAGCCAGTCTTTTCTTGAATTAGAATCACAAACACTGCCTTTATTGTCCTTTTTGATACTAAAATGTGTTTTTTCTAGGTGGAAAAAAATGTGCGTTATTTTTTGGATTTGTAAAAATATTTTTCATGGTATCTGTAAAGCTTGAGTATTTTGTGATGTTCATTTTTATAATTTAAATTTTTGGTAAATATGTACAAAGGCACTTCGGGTCTATGTGACTATATTTTTTTGTATATAAATGTATTTATGGAATATTGTGCAAATGTTATTTGAGGGTTTTTTTTTTTTACTGTTTTGTTAATGAAGAAATTCCTTTTTAAAATATTTTTCCAAAATAAATATTATGAACGACATCCAGAAGTGTACTTACTCACCCCTCGTCAGAGCAGACTTTCACTCATACTTGTCCGAGGCCGTGAGGACAGAAACGGCCTCTGCTTTTCTGTTTCCCAGGTCTTTGCATAGTTTCATTGGATTGATGAAAAGCAGCTTTCCTCGCTCCTCTGCCCACCTCAGAGAACCCTCCAAGGTCACTGTCAGGAAAAGGAAGGGGCAGGCGCAGTGCTGCTGGTCGCTTGGTTCCCTGAGCATCCCCTGAACTGCACGGAAACCTGAGGGCACAGACGCCCGCACCTCACGTCCGGTCAGTGCTGAGAAGCCTCGGAGCTGGTCACCTTCCATCGGAGCCTTATTTTTATCAGGACTGGAACAAAGCCTCATTTTGGATTAAATACCCAGGGAGCACTTTAATGTTGTCATGACAAAGGCTTTCTGGTCCTCGAATAATACTTATTCATTGGTTTGTGGGTTTATCTCTAGCTAATTCAAAAGAGTTAGTTGCCTCCTAATTCAACCACAGTTGCCGTGGGACAGACTACAGCAATGATAAAAACACTCTTCGTGGGTGGTTACTACCTGCCAGGCCACTCCTCCACGTGAATTATCTCATTAATCCTCCAAGATAGTAGCTTCGTTACTCCCATTTTATAGCTGAGGAGACTGAGGCTTGGGGAGGTGAAGGTACTTGCTCGGGGTTGGTAAGTGGCAGTCAGCATTCAAATCTGGGCAGTCTGGCTCCAGACCCTGGTTTGATCATTATCTGTCAGAAACTCAGCTTCTTACTGAGAACAAGACAGGGATTTAACAGACCGCATCACTGGTGCCATTCAGTGGTTCCAAAGGATCCGTGCAGATGGTCAGCTCTCGAAGACAAGTTAGTACTGGGGAAAAGTGGTTTAATCCTGGGGTCAGAGGGGAACAGGCAGAGGGCTTAACTAATTAGAGGGAAGAGGTTGCCTTTGTCTCAGTGACTGTGATGAATTTATTCCATCGGTCGTTATTGTACAGTCAGAAATTCTGGACTCTTCCTGCAGAGGAAACACAAAGCACGTTGTGTGTCAATCAGTCCTGATGCCCATCCTCGTGTGTGTAAAGGATGGAGATGCACGTGCAGTGGACTGGAGACCAAGATAACAACATAGGGGCCAGATGGCACCCAGGAGCCACCCGGCTGGGGCTTCTGCCTCTAAACACAACCCCATCCATTCCCCACCCCTCCGGCTTGTTATTTTGGAATAACTGCTCACGGGCAGAAACTCCAGTGGAGAGACTGCATCCACGGAAAGAAGTCAGCGTCGGGCCCAAGTGCGGCTGAAGGAGATTTAGGCTCTAAAGCTCCTCCACACTCAAACGGTCCCCTGCTGACTTTAAGGGTTAGCAGCATATTCTAGACTAACTGAGGGGGTCACCAAGGTTGCTTTCAAGAGGCTACACGATCTGGTGAAAGAGTGAGGTGAGCTCAATCCAGTTTACGCTTGTTAACCTGGAGTCATTCATAGCTCCCTCTCACTTTCAGCAGCGACCTGACGCGGATAATAAATTAAATGGCTTCTCTATTTTCAAAAATATGGAATATTCTGGGATTCTTGCAAAGCCCATTCTATGAAAGAACCTCAATGCACTTAAAGATAATCTCACTTTCATCTTTCCCAGCCTTCTAGTAAAATCAGGGAATAAATTCATCTTTCATCTAGGTAAGCAAATAACACGGCAAACTGAGACTGAAAGGTGCAGCTTTGGAATTGCCAGCCAATTGGCAATTGGTGCACGTGGTTCCCTGGGTCCCTCCTGAGACTTACGTTTTAATTGGACATTTAACCAGACGGTCCCTCAGCTTTCAGGGTTTATGGCATTTGCAGGGGGAAATTCAGGTACATTGACCAAAAATATCCACATAAACACATGGGTATTTACAGACAAATGTCCACAATTCACCTCCCAAGCGACACCCAGCATGATTAGCCTTGCTAGGAACCAGGCAGGAAGGAGCATCTGTGACAAGAACAAGGAGGTGAAAAGGCAGGTCCCTTCAGCGGGGGTGAAGCTGGCGCTGGACCTGTGCTCCCAAGTTCTGAGGAGCATCGAGCGTGGGTGACGCCTGCCCGAGGGCCCGGCCTGCAGGCCTCAGCCCCATGCTCCAGGCACTGAAAGGAAGGTGGGGCACACATACTTTTCCTTAGGCCTTTTTCCTTTAACTTTTCATAGGGACATAATTTTGGACTTCCAGAAATTCTGCAAAGAATTCTCGTTATGACGATGGCTGTCATGTCTGTCCTCCTTCCATCCTGACTGGCTGGCCCTCTGCAGTCAGGACGAGCGGTCCTTTCTTGTCCACAGCAGTGTAGATGCCGGCGTTACTCAGTGGCTCACAGTCTGCTGCTGCCCCAGGGTGGGGTGGTCCCCACCCTCCCGGGTGTGTCTTACCTTCAGGCTCACAAGCCCTGCTGGCCCAGCTCTAGAATTGGCCCCTCTCAGTAACCCTGGTTCCATCAGTGGAGGAGGGAGGCAACTGTGTTTCTCATTTGAGCCTGACAGCAGCCGGCAGTTACCGAGATGTAAATTGTGTGACCCGTGTACAAGCCCCAAACAGGCCCTTGAGCGAGTGTGACTTGGGTGCATACTCTGCGTCGCTGAGTAGACAGCCAGCAACACAGTGAAGGAAATAGTTTTGCCAAGAAAACTGAACTTGAATCTGGTCAGACGCCTTGATCGAGTTACCCGTTGACAGGAGTCCAGGGCGCTGAGGACACAGTCCAGACACCAGTAGGATCTGCTTGGCCGAGTCCAGGGCAGAAGGAGGGGGATGAGGGGACTCGCAGATTAGAAACGATTTAGTCAGAAAACAGTTTAAAAATTCATGAGCTGACTGGAGAGATGTAAAGCCTGACTGGATGTTTAATGGTGTTAAGCAGTACTTGTAAATTTTTTAGATGTGAGAGGTTATTACTCTTATGTCGAACAAAAAAAGAGTGCTTAACTTTTAGAGAAAAATTCTGAAATATTATGGATGAAACAATATTATGTCTGGGATTTGCTTAAAGGTAATGAGACGGGGTGCTGGCAGTGGGCGGGGTGCAGGTGAAACACGAGGACTGCTAGTGGACAGTCGCGGGGCTGGCTGTGGGTGGAGCTGGCTGCACCCTTCTCGCTCCTTGTGTGTGTGTTGGAAACTTGCCATAACTAAAGGCATTAAGATGATTTACACAGTGAGTGCACGCACCCAGGTGACACAGTCACTGGTGCACGTGTAACGCTGTGTCTCGTAGATGTGCGAGCACAGTGGATTTTAGGGAGGTTTCCGGTCTTCGCACGTTCAGATGAGGAATCTTGTGAGACCAAACCAAGGCAATCCTACGGCTCGAGACGCGGCGGGGCTTGTTCAGGGCTTTGGTGCCAGATCCAGGCCCTGCCCCGCTGGCCGGGCTCAGTGACAGATCCAGGCCCCGCCCCCGCTGGCTGGGCTCAGTGACAGATCCAGGCCCTGCCCCGCTGGCCAGGCTCAGTGACTGTCAACTCTGCTGAAAGATGATGGTCTTTCCTGAGCAGCTTTGCAAGGACCCTGCTCTCCACGTGGCTCCAGAGGCTCCCAGAGCACAAACCCGAGAGTGTCGTTCCTGCTAAAACCAGCTAACATCTGCTTTTAGCATAAAGTTCAAAATCCTCACCTTGGTCTGTCAGGCCTTGGTGTAATCCGGCTCCTGACCGTCTTTCTGCCTCAGTCTGTGTCACTCTCCCCACTGTCCCTTCCGTGCTCAGCTCCAGCCACACTGGCCGTCGGCATGCGGCTCTGTACCCCTCCCCGGTTCCAAGACTAGGCTGTCACCTCCCGCCTGCTGGGCCGTGCTGCGCGGCTCCTCCCCGAGCACCTGCTGACAGGGAAGACCCCTCTGGGCCTCCAGCTGGGGTACCTGGCCTGTCACAGTGCTGTCCTCTGGCCGGCCTGTGGCTGAGTGTGTGCAGCGACTGTGGAAGGCCTGTGTGTCCCAGGGGCGGGCAGGGTTCTCACCACCTCCAGGCCCAGCTTGGAGCTTGAGCCAGAGCTGTCGTCTGTGCACACTCACCACACGGGAGGGAAATGCATACAAGCGTGTGAGGATTTGGTCATGACAGAAGTTTTATTCCTCCCAGTGTGACTGGAACTTTGGGACCATAGCATGAAGCCAAACATAGATATGATCTGAGTGGGAGACCACATTACTTTGTTTTTATTCTAATAAGTAAAAGGTCACCTAGACACAGAGTGTGCCGTGAGGATGTTTGCTTGGTATCCAGCCAACGGAGCCATATGCAGTTAGTAATTTCTTAGGCTGTGAATTTTGTAGAAAAACTGTAGGGAAGTTAAACAACTTTCCTAAAGGGCAGCTGCTGGATGTCTGTAGAAACACTGAAAAGGAGAGCGGGACTTGGAACTTGGGCTGAGCTGGGCCCCGAACGTGTGGGTGTGCGTCTGTGGGACGTCAAGCCTCACGCGACAGGTGTGCGCACCATGGTACGCTCGACCGTGCCAGGCAGTTGTCATCTGGAAGTAATTAGGAGACAAAATTTTTAAAGATGATGCGTGTCCATGCAGAATATCAGCATTTCCCCCCAGAACAACCTTGAGTTACATTCATTTGCTCAAATAAACCAATATTCCATTTTGGAGAAACCTATCTGACCTGCATCACCCTGAGAGGTGGGGTGGTGTCGTCCTTGCCTTTTCTTGCTGGCAAGACTTGAAAAACAACCACACTCTCTTTCTCACCTTTCTTGTTTCTTAAGAAAACATCCTCTGCTCCACATCTGGCATTTGCTGATTCTGCATTATGGAGATTATAATCTTAAAAGAAACGGGGGTGGTGTCCCTGAAGGTGCCAGCATGAAACAGCATTTTAAAAGGTACGACGCAAGCCTCGGGATCTCTTTCTTTTCTGAAGCACACAGATGAACACGATGATGCCACGAGCGGCACTCCTAAAGGGCACCGGGTTCAGGATAAGAGCAGAGAGTCCAAAACAGCAGGGACAGGATGCAC